AACTCCCCCAACCCTTTATCAGGTAGTTGGAGTTTGGAGAATATTGCCTATGCAGATGGCACTGCCTCTAAAATTTTGAGGGAGATTCTGACCTAGCCCTCAAAACACTCAGAAATGCAGACAAAACAAGCCTGGAAAGCCTATGTGGATGCACTACTTCAAGGAGATTTATTTATTTGCTATGTTAACTGAAGTAGAATCAATGTTTTTGTGTACTCCAAGCATGCATGCACTTATTTGCCTTGTTGTCACTTGGCTCCTTGTGAGTCCATAAATGCAATACTGATGAGGATGAAGTTCTGGATACATCTTAGGTAGTAAGGAGCTGTATCTTCCATCCTAAAAGATTTGGTTTAAAGAAGGGATAACAGAGTGCAAGACCTAAATGTAATAAAATGTAGCTAAGACATGACTCTACTAGCTCCTGCTGAGACTACAAGAAAGTGTAAAAGCATGTAGATTGTGCTGAAAGACGTGAACATACTAAATGAGAAGCTTATGGGTTCTAGCACCCTGAAAGATCATACTCTTAACATTCCTTCGCATCTCACATGTAATGCCTTACACTTCTCATCTTTGTCCTCTTTATTACCTCACAAATTATCTCCATCCATACTTCCTTCTTACCCCTGGAAAATTTTCTGAACTTTTTAGCTCAAGTCATTCATCGGAAATAGTTACATTTCTCAAGGATTGCAAGATGTAAAGGATATGGTAAGTTTCCTTAATTAAAAGATATACATTAAAACACGTGCAAATTTGTAGGGTAAGTGTATTTTTAGTTGTCTCTACATGTCCTTTCCCTTCTTCAACTTACTCTGTTTTGATCTTCTTATCAGAAGGCATAGCATGATTTAGTTGATTACTTTTGAAAGAATCTAGGTACTGTGACCAGGAAGTCACTTTTTTCCCCTGAAGTATTTAATTAGTCTGCAAGTGGAACAGATATTGTAGGATGGACTGTGTACCATCCCACAGCACTATTTAGACTATGAATATTCATTATTCACGAATCTGAAAAATGCAAACACAGGACTGTTTATAAGTATATTTAAAGGCAGCATGTGAGAAATTATCTTGTGGTAATTATATATTTATTGTACCCCAGTTAGACTACATTAGATTTGCAGTATGCACACAAAATGGATTCCAGGTTTCTCAAATTAACTTTTCACATGAGTTGTTGTGGGTGATATCTGCTGCATTCAAGATTAAAAGAAAACAGTTAATAAACAAAATGTTTAAGTTTCTGAATTTTGCAAGCGAATTGCGGAAGTCTTTATAAGTAGTACACATGGTGAAATACACTTTTATCAGCATCTACCTTCCACCTGAACTAATCTCCTTGTACTACTGATTATTAAAGCATTTAAACAACAGTAAAAAAAAAACAAACCAAAAAGCCACACAGCAGTTCATTGTGTGACACAAAATCTGAATCTTGGGCCTCATTAAGGAGAAAGCGTTCCAGTTCCTCTAGTATGCTGTATTCTACCCTGAAATCACTCTTCCTATTGTAAAGATGTCCATTTTTGTCTTTTTCCGCATTTGCAAGCCTGGGAGAAAAGGTACCACACTGAGTGAGGCACAAATACTTAGCAAAGCCCCAAGATTTTCCAACGTTGGTATCCAGCTGAGGCCGTGTCAAAAGGACTGTCTTAGATTTTATACAAAACACTGGTTTATTCCTACAACTGTTTTCAAGGAAAATCCTTCTGCAGTTGTAAAACTACACACCAAAGTAACTGAAGAACTTGAACAAGACAAAGACATTAACAAGGAAATTACCTTGCCGACAAGGCAGTGGCTCACACACTGAAATGGCCTGAATTTTTTTCTGTATGCTCACTATCGGGGAGCCTTTCATTGGAAACCGCAGGGACAGGAGACAGGCTGTATTAATGCAGTTGCACACATAGAGGGAGCTCCAGCACAGACAAAACCAAGTACATTCCCCCAGCCTTAACAGCAGTAATAGTGCTACTGCAACTGAAGATTTAAATTCAAGTTCATTAGCATTTAAATAACTTAAGATATTAAAGCTTGTACCTTACTTACTGACTATGCTTTATGTAGAGTACAGAGACCCATAGGTGACTTCTGCTTTCTTACTAAGGTCAGAAGCTTTGGAGGACAACTTGGAGCGTGATGTGCTCTGCCATACTACAACCAGGCAGGATAGTAGGGCTTAACCTTAGAACGGCACACGCAAAAGGACTGCAGATACTGTGAAGTTTGGTGCAACCACATTAGAGATCAGAACAGCAGGACACTGGTGCCACACAGTACAGAAACATCTGGCAGGAATCCCAACGTTAAGCAACACTGCCGACAGCCCATGAAACTCTTGTCTTTCACAGAATAGCAAGGGTTGGAAGGGACCTCGGGAGATTGTCCAGTCCAACTCCCCTGCTAAAGCAGCTTCACCTAGAGCATGTTACACAGGACATTGTCCAGGTGGGCTTTAAATATCTCCAGAGAAGGAGACTTCACAAGCCCAACGCTCTCAGCCTTTCCTCATAGGTGAGATGTTCTGGTCCCCTAATAATCTTTGTCACTCTCCTCTGACCTCTTTCTAGGAGTTCCTCATCTTTCTTGAACAGGGGAGCCCAGAACTGGACACAGTACTCTAGGTGGGGTCTCACTAGGGCAGAGCAGAGAGGGAGGATAACCTCCCTCGACCTGCTGGCCACAGTCCTCTTAATACACCCCAGGATACCATTGGCCTTCTTGGCAACAAGGGCACACTGCTGGCTCATGGTCAGCTTGTCATCCACCAGGACTCCCAGGTCCCTCTCGGCAGAGCTGCTTTCCAGCAGGTCAGCCCCCAGCCTGTACTGGTGCATGGGGTTTGACCTCCCCAGGTGCAGCACTCAACACTTGCCCTTGTTGAACTTCATCAGGTTCCTTTCAGTAGCAGCTTGGTTCTTCAGCAGACTATTGCTGCTATATGGCTCAAAACCCTACATGGTGCAGTTTATGGTTCACAGTTTAAATGCTTTGCTGTCCACTGGAGTTTGCAGACCAGACCCAAGTAGCAAATCTCCCCACGCAGCGCACTAAAAGCCTTCAGAGCACAACAACTACATTAGGACAATTTGCCGTAGTTAAATGGCATGCCTTGTTCGAAGCTGCTTTGGAATGTCTACATTACCCAGCAGTCAATTTTTGAGCCATAACCCGAGATCCAGAATAAGCAAGGAGGAGGTGATTCAGTCAGACAGCATACAACACTGCTGTGAGATTTAAGTGTCACTGTTCATTCAGGATTCACAACTACAAACCTCTCCTTCAGCTGGGTGGCTATGCCAGCTATTCTTCATAAAGCTCCTTTGTGCAAGAAGAAACCTCACTGTTCTTTTTACCTGCCAGCATAGTCGTTACAGCACTGACTCAAGATGTGGGGAAACAGATTTAAATCACTTCTATGCCTGTGCAGTCTTGAACGCCCATTTTCCAAAGCAGTGGCCTAGATATTCAGTCTTCTCTGAAGAGGCTGTTGTAATGCTGCTGCAATTCCCCTTTTGTTGGTATATCTTAAGGGCTTTAGGTCCTTAGAAGGGTAAGCACAGCTGAGTAGGAAAACTGTGAACTCAATTATGCCACACACACTTTCTTTTTTGTGCATCTAGTGCAGCAATAGCTTACTAAAGAAGATGCCTGACTAAAATCCAAATGGTAATTAGAACAACAGGGCATTTTGGAGCTCACGAGCCTATCCTGAATTACTGTAACAACCACAATAATCTGCCTGAGCTCCTGAAAAGGAAATCTTAGCCCAAAGGTTTCATTACCATAAATTCTTACCTTGAACCTTGAGTTACGTTACCTCCAGAACAGCACAAAAATATAGTTATGACGAAGCGTTTAACTTACTGAGTTTTTAGCTTTTCTGCAGTTCTTAAGAATTCAACTTTCTTAGCTTGTTCAGCTTTGATCTTCCCGTTCTGAAATTGTCGACCAGCACCTGCAGTACTGGAACAGCTGTCATTCTGTACGTAACAAAATCAAGTATTATTCAAAAACAGCATTTATTTTTAAACGGTCCTTGGTTATTTTTAAGCAGACACCACGACAGTGCAGGATAACAGCACTACTTCTGTTTTGTACTGGCGCAATTCAACTCATTTTAAGTCACGCAGGTGTAAAACTAGAGTGAGGCGTGTCAGCCGGCTGATGACCGTACACAAAAGTGCATTTTTCAACAGGAAAATGGGAAGACTGCAACATCCGCCTGCTGTAACAGAGGCTGCTCGCCACACCGCCACCCTAAATCGAGGCAGCGGCCTTGCCTCCCGCGGCAGTCGGCCGATGACCAGTCAGAGTGACTGACTACCTACCTGACTACAAGCACGTAATCTACACTAGGCAGATTACCCCCATTTCACCTGGTTCAAGAAAAGCACTGGCTTAGCTTCCAAAATCTGCTTAGTGTCCCTTGCAAACTGCCAACTCCTATTCAGAGCAGCCCTGATCATCCTTAGCGTAATAACCGCTGCCAGGAACGCAGATGATGAAGCCGCCTGCTCAGGTGACGAAGCCACCGCCATTTCGAGGCCAGCCCAGCAAACCCACGCTGCTTCCTACAGGCTTCTGTTTAGCGCTCATCCCTGCACCCTGTACG